AAGGCTAAGTCTAAGACAACTGAGCCCCATTGGCATTAGATTTAGGCCTACCATTCTGGCTAAAATAAATCGCGCATAAGACTAATCCATACTCAATTATAGTCATTTGATTTAGTTTATTTACTTAAAATTCTTTCGGTATTCGGAATAATAATAATTTTACTTACCACCCGTTTTCCATACTGTAGTCTATATGGTGCCATTTTCCACAACCAAAAATGCAAACCAAAAGTCCCGAAAGTTCCCGAGTAGAGAGGAGGTTGACACCTGCCGTTTACGTCACCGAAACCTTGACGTCATCGAGACGTGACGTCATATACTCATGAATGTTTCAATATAACCTCTCACGTCGAAACGAGAATTTTGACAGTAACAAAAAATGATAAAATATTATTTTAAAAATTAATAAAAAATACGAAACAAATTTGTTATCAAAACTAAAAGCAATGTTTCCTGGATGAAAAAAATAAAAAAATATAGACATTCATATGTTTTTAGAAAACTGTTTAGGGTTAAAGTCTGTCTGGCTAATGCCCATAATAATAGATAAAGAAATATACGCAGGTCAAAACTTAAGAGTAAAAAAAAAAAATATTAATTTTCTTTTTTTAAATCCAGATACCCAAAATTACTGTGAGAGGCAACTAAAATCTATTCCAACTACAGAAATGTGATTTCTCACTTTTTAACATGTAAAATTCATCAGTTAAAATATTAGGCAGACCGGTTTTTGTCTGCCTAATCCATCGGTCTGCTTAATGGCTATATATATGTGTTTATGGTCCTGCCTCTGCCTAATACCAACGTTATACAACCGCAAAGCTCCACTACTTTGTTTCACGGTAAATGATGAAAAGATAAAAAAAAAAAAGGTATGCCGACACAAACTGATTTCAACACTGGTTTAATAACATTTTAAAGTACTTTTCGTCCGTCTTGGGACTATTCATAAATAATGTCATTTTATAAAGATGGACAGTATAGTATATTTATACATATTTACATAGTAACACTGTGGTTTTAATTGGCTATAGTTACCATTGTCTACGGTTACATAGTATATCGTTAACTAATAGAAAACATGTACACACGTGTGTTAATCTTTAGTATATGGGTTCAATTTATGAACAATGAGTGGAAGATAATCATGGGATAGATTTAAGAAAATTAATGAAGCTAATGGCCAATTGTTACTTATTGACTATTAAGTCAAGAAACGTATTTTTGAATAAAATGGTCTTCCATTAATTTCCTTTTCGTTGTGTCATCGACTTTCATTTTATAAAAAGGGAAAATTTGGAATTTTACTTGTAGGTGTTGTGCACATTTATAGATATGTCTATTTACAAATAAGGGCCCATTTTCAATATTACAATCCCGTCGATTATATATATATATATGTCGTAATCCGGAACGTACAGAGGTCGAATTACCCAGATATATTTTTTGACTGAAGTAATAAGGAAATAAATCGGAACATGAAAATTGTGTCGGATGTAACAGTGTCGGAGTGATCAGAGGTCGAGTGTGACAGAGTGCACTGTATATATATATATTTATACTTGTATAGGTTAGGCCTACTAGATCATAATTCTATTTATTATCACATTGTGACCCTTGGCCTTAATTTCTGTTTTCAACTTGTATTGCTGCTGTTAAAATTAGTTATATTTATAATTATATCTAGGCTTATTGCATACTAGGTACATCTTAAGGGTCTACGAAGTCTTATATTTGATAGGCTATCTGTTTATTTTAGCAAGTCTATAGGCCTTTACGCTATTTAGGCCTATTATTACTGTTTCATAGTCGATCAGTATTTTAATGTACATTTGTTATAATTTGATTTGTAATTATTAGGAACCTATTTCTTTTATTTCAGTTAAACCTCATGCTCATACTCATATTTTCAAGTTGAAGTACATCGTTAAAATAAACTTTAAATCCAAAAACCAAAACGAGTGTATTAATAGCTAGGACAATTGCTACCTTGAACCATTTCCATGTAGCTATGCTACATATTATATGGTTATTAAAGTGTGTGTGTGTGGGTGGGTAGGTGTGTGTGTGAGAGAGAGACAGAGAGAGAGAGAGACAGAGAGAGAGAGGGAGGGAGGGGGAGTGAACGTCCACTCGACACAAACTAGGTCATTTTGGGACTAACATATGGTTCAATTTTTTCAATAATTCGCTTGAGAGTAGGGATCTTTAGCAGTGGGAGGAAACCGGAGGACCCGGAGAAAACCCACGAGGTTGGACAGGCGACCCTACTCCTTGCCACGTACAACCGGGGAATCGAAACCACGCCAGTTGACTCAATGACAGACCTTATGATGCAGTCTTATGTTTGTATAGTTTTTTTTACATCTCCAGTGTTGCAAACGTTGAATGTTACGTGTAAATTGGACCAAGTCAAAGAAGAAGAAGAGTCGCCCTCGGGCAACATAACCCCCCCCCCTCCCTCTGGCTACTACTGTCTGAACCATAGTAAATTTTAAACGGATTTCTTCGATTATGAACAAACTACTTAAATTTGGTTATTATTAACTTGAAATTACCTCCAGTTAAATAAAATCCATTGTACAACTAAATCTCCCAGAGAATAAAAAAGTTGTCTCTTGTAAAATTGAACTTATCATAAACTTGGACATCGAGAAATACAAAAATGGAAGCTAATTACGTCACTTATCGGGATAGGTCATTTCGTATAAGGGGGTCAAAGCAAGGCTTGTCTAACGTAACGGTGTTTGGCTCTTTTACAATTCAAATTTTGTGTATGAATAAGCTATTGCTCTCGGACCCAGTAATGAGTTTGGACGACTGCAAACATAAATACGCCAGTAGTCCGTTATTTTGTTTCCGTCTTGTATTAATTATTTGGTTAGAGAGTTAGGTGGGATTACGTTTTTTGAACACAGGTGCAGAACAAAAAGAACGACATTCGTTTTACGGGCCTTGAATCTCACCTTTGAATATCTTTAATATGTCCTGATGAACTTAAGCAGTCCCGTCAATTAATAACAACAATCTGCTGTAGCCGATGTATTTTACATTTGCCTCGGCAAAATTAATAGCCCGAGGCCATTGAATCGTTGAATAGGTATATAACGTTATTTTTTTTTTTTATACATACTAAAAATTATTATCAACAAATCATACCGCACAACGGTTTAATTATCGGCAGACAGTTCCATGTCTTTCTATTTCTCTTCGAATATTATTTCCGGTGTGCAAAAACTGTTCAGAATTTTATAATCGTGCGTCTCGGTAACACAATTAATTTTCGAAATTCCCTGCTTCGTTTTGAAATTCACAGAGCAATGTATCCATACGTTTGTACGCTTAGTTATTACTTATATATTTTGAAATCTACGGAGAATGGAATTCTATTACCGCAAAAGGTACCACGCCATATGAGTTTTGTATGCTACACAGATGCAGTAAAAATGTTTAAATTTAGCGCAAAACTTGCACGAGCTTTTCCCACGGTCTGCATAATAAACACCCAAGACCCAATAATACCCGCAATCTGCGATGCCTCTTTTGACGAGTGATTTTTTGTTTTAAAAACATTTTTATAAAGACGATAAACGATGTTTAGACATCCCCAACTGTTCTTTTCAAGACTGTTTTGATTTCAGTATCTGTTGAATAAACAAAAAAAAGTAATTTAATCAGGAATATTATTGACATGAACAGTCGGAACTTGAAATAACCAGCGGCAGGATACGCCCACATTTTGCAAGAGATGGATAGAGAACAAGCTAAAACCAAACGTGATTTTTTGCACAATCAGGGGCAATAATCCTGAAAGTTATGGTCTGAAATGTGCAAATATCAAAAGGGACTTAGATCTTTGGGATATAAAGATAAGTTTTAAGTTTCATCAAAACCACATAAAAATTGTGACCTCTAGAGGGTCCACAACCTTCGTATTGCATACTTTTACACAATTTGCGTACACAGAGCGGCCATTTTGTCGGGCAGTTACATTTCGATTTTCCCGAAATTCGAATTCAACCTTCATTATGGTTGTTGAATTGTGAAATATTTAAACGGTTTTTAAAATCGGAACAAAAAATTGTGACCTCTAGAGAATCCGCAAGCTAAAAATGCGATTTTTCAAGCAATCAGGAGCCATAATCCTGAGGTTGAATTTCGTAAAAAATCTGGCCAAAACTGACAGACAAAATGGCCGCCCCTCGTACTCAAATATGGTATATCAAAGTTGTGGACCATCTAGAGGTGACAATTTTCTTCTGATTTTGATGAAACTTGAAATGTAAGTTTATAACCCAAAGATCTCGGTTCATTTCGATATTTGCACATATCGGACCGTAACTTCCTGAATTATGGCCCCTGATTGTACGAAAAATCGCTTTTTGTTTAGCTTGGTCTCTATCCATCTCTTGCAAAATGTAGGCGTATCCTGCCTGGCAGCCGCTGGTTCAGCAGGAGGTGATTACAGTAGTTTGTTCACAATAGAAGAAATCCGTTTAAAATTTACCAGGATTCTGAGATAAAACATTATAATAGGATATAAATTTCACATAATAATTGAAAATGAAAACAAAACCTAACCTAAAAACTTGCGAAAATGCAGATGTATTTTTAAGAATAATTGTATTTAAAAATGTAAAATAACGAAGTCTCCCGTCAATCTGTAAATAGTTTTGAAAAGCGATGCACGACGCTTTTTAAAGGGCTACGTCGTGTTAAAAAGTCGACGTCGCCTTTTTCTCCGTAGCTTAAATTAACATTGGAAAAAACGCGCGACGCAAATTTTGCGTCGTGCGTCACGTTTTTTTTAAAAGGCGACGAGCGACGCGGGAAATGACGGAAATAGAACACGATATAAATCCCCCGTCATATGTGATCGCCTCAAATGAACAGTGGTATCTAATATATTTAATTTCTCAAACGATGTCCCAACAGGGTTTGTGTATATTATTCAATATATTTGTAATGAAAGTTTATTACGCATTTCTATTGTTTTCCAGGATGGTGCCAAATTATACATGTCTACACATAATGTTCCACATGATCTACAGAAACGAGTTCAACGATGGTATGATTATGTTTGGTCAAGGTAAGGAAACTACTTGTACAGGTTTATATGTCAGGGACTTTTCTGGAATTAGAGATTTTTTGATACACCTTTAAGAAGAAGGGGGAAATAGAAAGGGGTCAATTTGGATTTGAAGTTTAACAAAAGATTAGAAAAGTTGATTTCAGTAATATAAAAACAAATCCCAACATTAATTGTGTGTGAGCAATCAAATTATATGAAGTACATGCTTATGATCGAACTTAGTCCTGGTACCTGGTATTGAGCTAATGTAACTACACCAAGTTTCTTAACTCTGAGGTACTGTGTTCAGAAGCATCAACAAATCAAATTGCTTATCTGTGCTTACCCTAAGTAGAATGTCCCAATTGTTTATCTCGGTTTAGCCTGCGTAGAAATGGTCATCATCGAGGACATCAACTACACCAAGTTTGGTTTGACCATTCCTTGATTAGAAGGAAAGTCATCGTGTCCCCAAAAGTGCGACATATATAGAGACGGAAACACCCATTCTAATAGTTCCCCGTTTTCTTCGAAATGTGCGAGACAACAACCAAAATTAAATACCTTATTGAAAACCTAGATCCTCTGTCATCGATGTTATTTTATAGTTCAAATTTCGTTGTAGTAAATTAAGCCATCAAAAGTATAAAAAGAAGGGGAATTTATATCAGTATTTTATTCGAATTAACAACGAATGCTTCAAGTTGGTGTTAAGTTAAACTTGGTTTTAAGATGTTTAAATGTGCATAGGGCATCGCGCCAATTAGAGAGATAGGTCTATTTCTATATAGATGACGACTACTCCGATCAACGTTATAGCCGCCTTCATTCAAACTACGTACTGAATTGAATTGTGTTCGAGGTGTCACTGACAGAATTAGAACCGTCAACTGTCAATTGGAAAAGACAGAAGACACAACTGATAGTTAAAATTAACCCATAAAATACACAAAATGGCCACGATTTACTCAAAACATCGCCGTTTTAATGCGGGGTGTGCATATTGAAAGATGAGGTAGTACTGGTGACGTTACTGCTCCCATCTTTTAAATAAACGTAGCGCATGAAAGAGGGTGCCTCGAACATTTCTTAAAGTTGATCCGGGTATTTGTCGTTATTATCTATATTTTGTTTCCATATAGACACAGATGGACCAGTTCCTTTAAATATAATCTTCAAAACAATACCAATCACTTAATTATAGATAATTGTATTGTCCATCCTTTTAATATTTGATACAATAGACCATTACGTAATCGTCCATATTACTAATTCTTCATTGTAGTTACAACATCAATTTTAGGCAAGTACACCATAACATATAGAACTAACACATGTGCACGTCATTTGATGTTATGGGTTATATTCGCTTTAGAAATAACAAAATCATTAGCATATCATTGTCGCATCTATGCAATATTCGCTTAATGACAAAAACATTAAAATATTATGGCCGCATTTATCTATAGTTTCATTTAAACGTCTCTTCATAAAAAGATTATTATGCTTTTTCTTTAACCTTTGACTATTTTATTAACAGTAATAAAATTATCAGTAGTTTCTGCAGGCAATGCAATATTCAATTAATAATAACAAAATAATAATAATAATAATAATAATAAACTATCATGGTCTCATCTATCCATAATATCATTTAAACGTCTCCGCATAAGATTATTATGCTTATTCTTTAATTGTCAGCAATTTATGCAGGCAATAAAATAAACCTTTTCCCATTCTCTAATGCTTACATATTCAAATATCTTTAATGTTAAACTTATATTTACAAGGTCATCATACTACTACCCTTCATTTCTTTAATAAAGAATTGTATACATAGAAAATGCTAGGGAAATACATTAACAATATAAATGCATTATATTGTTTTGATTATAATCCCCATCACCATAACCACCCTCTTAACATGTTTTGTCACTGGTTCTGTCTGTAATTGTCATAAGAGAATAAATTCATAGTGTCATTCATAATAGATCTAATGACATTTCACGCAGGTTTAATAGTACTATGTTCTGTCGCCACATTAAACTCTGATAATTAAGAGTTCTGAGTATACGGGATGCATTATCAGGGAAGGTCACGAGTTTATAACTAACACGTTTGAGTCATTTGTGTTTCAGGTGTACCCGAAGAATCAAAAATAGTTCCAAAAAGCTTATGGTCACATACAAATTTTTAATAACGACCAAGCCATAGTCAAAATAAGTCATTTAAATACTAAGATTAGTTAAGAAATAAAACGTCGAAGTTCATTATATTTACGACAATAAGGTTTCTATTATGGCTGAAATCTTTGGCCTGCAAGGTCCCCCTAATAAACAAACTATACATTTTTTGGAAAGCTCATAACGCAAGGAACACAAATCCAGAGAGTTCCAAGCCAGATGAAAATTGTGATAATTTTCAAGTAAATGCTGTATTTATACTAACAATTGTGAAGTTGACATAAAATTAAAAATTCTGTATGTTCCCTTGTCCATTATGTTTTCTACATCAAAAGTTAACCAATAGCATATTCTGTGCTGAGGATGAAGGCACTGGGTGTTTTCGCCAATATTTAATTTTATGTCAACTTCACAACTGTTAGTATAAATATAGCATTTACTTGACAATTATCACAATTTTCTTCTAGCCCTAAATCGAGTTAGTGCAAACTTTTTGCTTGGAACTCTCTGGATTTGTGTTTCTGGTGCTATAAGCTTTCCAAAAATGCATAGTTTGTTTATTAGGGAGGACCTTATAGCGGAACCCCACGCTAGAAAATTTGGCTGCAGGCCTACTTTTATAGAGGCTAATTTTCGCAATATTTATCTGTGGAAGCACAATAATGTATTAATAATGAATCCAATGAAAATTTATCAAAGACAAGGTGTAGTAATATATTGTAAACCGTTAATGTAGAGACTTTTTACACTTGTATTATGTCCTCACCCTGTCCGTCGATCGGTCAACCATTTGCTTGTGAATGAAGGTTATAGCTTTGTGACCGTGAGAGGATGAACCCTATTCATCGTTCCACGACATTCCGTGACAGAGCTATGACAAAAAAAACCTAGAGGCTATAATTTTTAACTGTCGTAGGAAGCATTGGTTTCATAATAGGACGAACCCTATCGATATTTACTATAGGTCACCCAGAACCTCCTAGTCTTCGGTTGTCAACATTTGGCTAAATTTACTGGATAATCATCCCCATAAAAAAACCTTCTAGTTACGCATGGTCAGTGGAACTTTTTAGCTTAGTCATGGTGACGAAAAATTAGGATTAATAAAAAAAACATATAGTTCAAGACCCAGTGCATCCTCGGTCCCCCCAGTGTACCCATTCCGTTCTACCCCACTATACCCTGGGTTAATCCATAGGGTTTCCACGATTTCAAATTATTTGCCCTTGCCTTGATTGTAGCTATAGTCTACGAACCATTCAAAAAACAGTTTACAAACCTGTCGTTTCGCCTTCGTTTTATATGGGTAGATAACCATATTCATGTCCAGATACTGAATTATTTATGTAAGTAATGTATATATTTCTAATTCATTTATATTTAATTGTATTATCAAAATCTGTAGTATTTTTCGCTACTTTCAAATATGTATAACATCTATATGTTTGACTGTTTTTATTAGTATTACTATTCGTTCTTTGTCTGAAATGTTTCATTCTGTTATGTTTATTATTATTAAACTTATACTTGGCAATTTGATTCACAATTACTTGTCTACGATATCAGGTTGACGTAAAATTCCACGAAAGAACGAACGATTCTCAATAAAATTATTGAACCTACATAAACGCACGGTCTTCATTAATATAATATTATATAATTTGTTGTTAATAAAAAAGCATTTAGAATAATTTGGACTTCTCTCATTTAGACGAACTCCTAGCCTTGTCCGTTGAGAGTTACTTCCCTTTGCCAACGTTTTTGCAATTAACGATTTATGAGATTGATCGATAAAAATAGCACAACCATCAAGGGCGGAAAACGTGTCTCCCCAATAGATTAACCCAGGGGTTAGTGGAGTAGAACGGAATGAAACCACTGGGGATACCGAGGATAGAGCCAGGGTTTGACCATATTAATTGGCAGCTATTGATAGGGCAAATTCAAAACACCCAGTCTTACGAGGTTCCAGTGGGGCATTTGGCTGGGAGGGGCAGATAAAAAGGGCCAAAAAGGGCTAAAATTTGCCTCATAAGTAATGGGATCAGAATTATTTCTAAAATGTTTCCATACAATGTATATGAATATAAAAAATATAAATCTGACCGGAAAAAGTGGGACCATGCCCTTTTCTGACTGCCTTAAGAAGTGCCGACGGGGGCCAAAATTGCCTCATAAGTAATATAGTTGAAATTGGTGCCAAATGTTAGCTATGTATGAGCCGATTCTAAAAATATCAAATCTGACTGGTTTCAGTGGGGCACTTAATCTGATCACTTAAAATCTGCCCGATCTGCCACGCCCACAAAAAAGGTCTAAATTCGCATAATAAGTAATACGATCAGAAATAGTTTTGAAATGTTGTGGTGCTATATATGAATCTTAAAATGCAAAATCTGACCGGAAAAAAATGGGACCACGCCCCTTTCTGACTGCCCAAAAATGCCTCATAAGTAATAAGATTGAAATTGATGTCAAATGTTAGCTATTTATGGGATGGTTCTAAAAATATCAAATCTAACTGGTTTCACTGGGTCAAACCCCTACTCTGACCACTTAATGTGCCTAATCTGCCACGTCCACAAATGGGGTCAAAATTTGCCTCATAAGTAATATGACTGAAAATGGTGCCAAATGTTAACTATGTATTAGTTGGTTCTAAAAATATCAAATCTGAATACTCATGCTTGATATCACTTCAAAGTTAAATCTACAAACTGACTAGTTTAAAAAAAAACCACTATTAATTTGCAGATTTCAACAACATAGTAGAAATTCAATACAGCACGACTGGCCCCCAACTGTATCATTCTTGAATTCAATATCATCCCCAGTTTTCTACGTTGCAAACACGACTTAATGGTCAATTTAAATCAACATTGATGTTGTTATCTTACCCTTGAAAAGTTGGGCTTCTGATATCCAACATTTGTATGAAGCGACGCGATGAACGAGGCTAAACATATCCCATGTAGGAAGAATACTACCCGTGTAGACTAGAATAACCAGATGCCAGAGACTGCCATTCAATTCGGATTCGTCGCTTATTTCGCCTAACATAACTGATTAGATATTACAGTAAAACAGATACGATTGAATGTAAATCAGTGTATATACATTCATATTACATTATTATATGCGTTGCGGCCCATTTGTGTCCATTTCTATGTGCCAAAGAATAGCGATTTATCTCCTTTAAATATAATATTACATTATTTCGTGGCATTATCTTTTTTACAAGAATCTGTATAATCAGTACATTGCAAATCTGTTTTCGGAGGATGGCAGCCAAGTTAAACATACATTATGCAAGAGCTAAATCTGATTATTGCAAGTTTTTATTTAGGCTTCAGATGTCATAGAAATTATAAATTAGATCTTTATTTACACAAAAAGCACAAAATCAGCTCTGTAGACCCACGGATGGTTTGGATTCGGCTTGGATTTAAACAGGATTTCATTGATTGATTAAATTTTTAAATGGCGTCGTAAGCGGAGATTAGCCGTTACGTTGACGTCATACTCCCGGAAATTTTAGCTCGAGGCTAAATGATAGAGTGTACGAAACGAGGCCGCATATGTCAGTCAATTTAATTGAAGGTTCGATATATACGGCCTTGATATTATGTTTAGTTGTGGTTAAAATGAGAGTTTGGATGTCGGTATTATACGGTCTATTGTCACTTGTGTTTACAGAAAAATTATGGAAATTGATAAACACCGCAGCTAACATCACCCCAGTTGAATTGCAGCTCCATTGGATCACTGTTTTCTATTTGTCTGCTTCGGGAGTTACGTAGGCCTACCAGTTACAGTACACGCAGGCTAACAAAAAGTCGGTTATAATTATGCCTCATTGATTTGGTCCATTCCTTTCAAACTTTCGCTTATTATCTATATATTAAAAGTCTTATTTTTAATTTGTAGTAAAAATAAATGTGATACGAATTGAATTGCAACCCCGTCTCAAACCGAATAGGCTCACGGTACTACAGCCATTGAAAACGTTACTTGATAATCGAGATTATGTAGGTGGAGTTAACGTCTGTCAATCAAATGGTCGGCCATTCTCGAAGACGGTGAAGAGAGAGTTGACTGCTATTTCTAGTCAAAAATTACAATGGTGATAAATTTGACTGAAATTTTCAATATATTCTTCTTTCATCATCTATTTTTGAACTGTTATAGCAAGAATGGCCAACTCTCTATTAAAATCTCCCATAATGTATCTTTAATAATATATTTGGTGATTTTACTATTTTCAATTTTGAAAGGCAGATAGTGAATTACTTTGATGCAGAGAAATTGACATTATTATCATCAAGTACTAAAGGAAAAATCATTTATAACAATAGAATGAATGTTGAAGAGGCCATTTAAGAGGTGTTCTTAGAAAATCATCGATAAATGCAAAAATTTGTGACATAGCATACGTATTACGTAAGGAAATACTAAATGTACCAAAGTCCACTTTGTCATCAAAATTAACAGTGCAGGATATAACTCAAGGAGAGGTTTCTGTGCCAGATTTAGTAATCGACCTTTTACTCAATTATTAGGACGTCCTCACCAGAGATAAGAAAAACAGAAAAAAATGTAAGAAAAATTGCATCAATTTCTCTAGATACCATGTACAATGTTTGTGTGTGGCAAAATTAAAACTTCCAAACATTTGACTCTTGTTAATGGCGATGAAGAGTATAACAGGAAGCCGAAGAAAAGTAATTGATATTTTACATCGTTATGGACACTGTGTTAGTTACAACGGCATTGAAGATCTGGAGACGAATTAACATACAGTCCACAGGAAGAACAGAATATGGTTCCACATGGATTAGAGAAGATATCATTGGTTACCTGTACTGCCGTACTGAAACAACTCACAATGATAACCAGCTTCCTGTTGGTCGGACAAGATGGTCATTTACTCCAATCCTTTTAAATCGGGAACCATATAGGAAGAAGCTTAGAATAACTAACAGTGGATTTATCACAGAAGATCTATTATTCCTAATAGTTGTGCAGATGACAAGCTTTTGGATGTTATATGGATGATATCACATGCATCAGAAACTACTGATACACAAATGTGGATAGGATGGAATTCACTTGTGGTAAAAGATAACCTTCCTCAACAACAAATATGTTATCTTTCTAGAATCAATCAATCTCCAACCTTCCTCAATATTGTTTTGGGAACAATGAAGTGATATAGCACCACAACATTATTTCTGATCGTATTACTTATGATGCAAATTTTGACCTTTTTTGTGGGAGTGTCAGATTTTAAGTGGTCAGATTAGGGATGTGCCCCACTGAAATCAGTCAACTATATTACTTATGAGGCAAATTTTGGCGCCCGTCGGCACTTCTTAAGGCAGTCAGAAAAGGGCATGGCCCCACTTTTTCCGGCCAGATTTATATTTTTTATATTCATACATTGTATGGCAATATTTTAGAAATAATTCTGATCCGATTACTTATGAGGCTAATATTAGCCCTTTTTGGCCCTTTTTTATCTACCCCTTCCAGCCAAATGCCCCACTGAAACCTCGTAAGACTGTGTGTTTTGAATTTGCCCTATCAATAGCTGCCAATTAATATGGTCAAACCTTCTATTACTTATGAGGCAGTATTTTCGTCACTGGCTCTTGGTCTAATAGATGTGATCCTTGAAGAGAATAAATTTTACAATAAAAAATAAAGAGTATTGGATATTGAACAAGCAATGCAGATAGCTTTTCTGAAATAGCAATTCTTCAATTAATTTCATGGGCGTCGATATCGTGTATTAGGGTCAGTTACCTCCCTTAGATGCTGTTCATGATAATGTTAAATACCGGATAATCCAGCCAATAACCTAGATATTCTCAAATGTTGACAACTTATCCAGACTAATATTCATAGAATATTTGTCTGAATGATAGAGTCTAATCGATATTCAACGTTCTGCGATCTTCCGTTACAGAGTTTCCCCCTCTCCTTTGCCGAGTAATACAGTCTCGAGCTTGTAACTAATTAGGCGTAAAGCAATGTCATGAGAAAACGAATCCTATCAATGCTCCGCGACTTTCCGCTCCTTATAGTTATCGTCTACTGTCGAAAAGCTTATGAACGTTTTACAGGCTAGGGCTTTTAAAGAATGATTTTTTTTTCAAATATGGTTTGAAGCATTGTGGTCATGAGCGGACAAGCCCTATCGGTTATGAACGTTCCGAAACCTTCCATACCATATCTCCTTTGCTGAAAACCCTGTGAACGCGATAGCGGCTATAGTTTTTAAAAGATTCTTTTCACATTTGGATTGAAGCATTGGGGTCATAAGAGGACCATACTCCTCGCAGTGTTTCGTTTGATTAGACCTAATCACGCTTAACACTGCTGTAATGGAAGCAAATTTCTGTTCCAAATTATGACTGGTCAATAGTCCGATTACCAATAGCTAACTGTGTAGCAATATCATTAGGCTATAAACAGAGCTCCAAATTGGACCAAATATGTGTACATACGGTTACGTACAATTAACCAGTGCATATCAGAATTTTGCAGAAAAACTATTGTTTGACAAACGAGGCTATCAAATCGGACACAATGTAAACAATACTGTTTGGAGATGAACAATCCTTTCACTGTTTTTAATACCTTAAATCACTGTCCAAAGGTTTAGGGAAGACCCCAGATTAAACAAAGAGCTGTCATGTTTCTGTACTTGGGATAGATTTGATTGAACGGGAAGAAGAGACACACTCCCTCAAAAGCTGAAGTATGAGAAGTAAATCCAGCAATGACCAGAGAGGTATTTCTCGGGCAATTGCTTTAGGAATATGCAAGAGGACTAACCCTATCAATACTCATCGTTCCGTGAATTCGGTTCCAGAGTTACACACCACATCCTCCTTCCAAAAATCCTCTGAGTTCAAATCCTATCAATATTCAGCAATATTCGGTTCCAGAGTTACACCCCACATGCTCCTTCCAAAAACCCTTTGAGTTCAAATCCTATCAATATTCAGCATTCTAGAGTTATACACCCCCTCCACTTTTCAAACAGCTTCTGAACATGGTAAAGGCTATAATCTTTGAGTGACATTTAGCGATTGACCATAATTTAAAAAAAAAATATATATATCTCATTTTGCGAGACTATCTTTTATAGTGCTATGAACACCTTTAGTAAATGTTATGATACTAGATTGTACACAATTGGATTGTATCAATTCACAGCTCAAGACAATAAGAGGATTTTACTATAGTATCTAACTGTATTGAAATGAAATATAATTATATTTACAGAGGACGTTTGAATGGTGCTGATATCAATTCATTAGGATTATTACCTGACAAATTGAAAACGGAATTAGCCATACATGTAAATTTAGAGACACTTAAAAAGGTAATGTATAATACCTGTTTTTATTAATGCAGTCCTGAAAATACCTGTTAATATAATTTCAATAAATTCAAAAAACGCTGATTAAACTCGAAGTCCGAGAGGTGTGTCGAATACACATCCGTGTTCTCACTCGCAAACCAATGTAATGTACGTCTCATCACTTGAAAATTAACACCCAAACGGTTTTAATTCATAGTTAAAAGCCTTCTAGCATTTGTTAATCAATGAAAAACTGAACACAAACGTGTCATAAAATGAAATAGCATACATGTATGTGAATAAATCATCTAACTCTTCCTAGCTTAGGGGAACTAAAAATAACCCAACGGTGGTGAATCGTTATTTTTGATTAACGCTTCATAATTTCCCCGGGTATTCCCTTGAAGAGATCGGGAACAATCTTAGATTGACCTCCATAGAATTACAATTTGATATAATTACTTCATTCATGTTACAGAGTCTTTCAGTATTTCCTTAGAGAACATAAAATTCCCTTTTAAGTACAAATATCAGCAGACTAGGATGTGAATGACAAATTATACAGATCAAGTATGTAGGGTGTAGGCTAATTGCTAGTTGATTAGGGTCGTCTTGGATATATGAATAGACGGGATGTCTAGCAACATATGCAACCATATCATAGCCTGTAGACATGCCTATAACTAGAGTATTAAAGGAGAACAGATCGATTTTACCGATACAGACAATTTTCGTTTCATGTGTCAATTTTTTCTGTAACATGTTTAAGATATATAATAATTGTTTTTATATCACGAATTTTTATATTAAAGCAGCTAACTCAATATTTTCCATAATATTCGAAATTTAAAACACGAAATAGAATTCAATATTGGTCCATTTCGTGTACTCTATAGTTTTGGGGGCCATTCGAAGTGAACAAAGAAACACATATATTACAAGACGAAATGATAATTTAAAAAAAAGTTCATTTTGAACTGTTCACGTATTTCACCAAACAAATGATTAGAAATGGCAATAAATTTTTGAAGAATTGAATACAAATCACTTTATGTAATTATACATTCAAATTACATTAATGTGTGCTTTTAGACCCATTTAAGGTTACCATTTAACACGTTTATTTTTAAATCTCTACTGTAGTTATATAACTGAGTAAATAAAACACAGTAATAGAAATACAGTAATTGTTATCCATAGAACTGTTGTGTTTATTTTAAATAAAACACAGTTTAGATCACCTTTATTGCAATATTACTGGCTAAATAAAACACAATTTAGTTCACCTTTCACTGACTAAATAAATCACACTTTAGTTCACCTAATAATATTACTGATTAAATAATACACACTTTAGTAGATCTTTATTTTAGTAATATTACTAACTGATCGAAATGCACTTTATTTTATTATTGGCACACTAATTTAGCTCAACATGAACATTGTTGTATAAATCATCTATCTGTACCTCCTTGGTCATTTCCTTGCATATTAGGAACAAAAGGTCGTGTAAAGTGTTCAGCTTAGAACCGTGCTTAACAAAAGAATGCATGGTGAAGTTTATAAAAAGAAACACTATCCGAGTTTGTGCTCGTTAGTCATTAATGAACAAAATAATTTGACTTCGATGTGATTCGTGCCCATACCAAGATATTTCACGCAATGCATACGTTAGTATATGTTCAGACTGATGTATGCATTTGCGGTTAGCCATTGACTCGTAGGTCACTGTAAATTGAGGGCGAAATAGTTCTAAACCTTCATGTGATTCGTGCTCATACCAAGATATTTCACGCTCATACCAAGATAGTTCTAAACCTCCATGTGATTCGTGCTCATACCAAGATATTTCACGCGGAGGCATACGTTAGTATATTTTCAGACTGATGTATGCATTTGCGGTTAGCCATTGACTCGTGGGTCACTGTAAATTGAGGGCGAAATAGTTCTAAACCTCCATGTGATTCGTGCTCATACCAAGATATTTCACACTCATACCTGACACATTTTTTTTTAATTTGAAAGAATGGCCTGAAGAGACATGTAAGTTGCATTTCCAGGAACGAAATTATGTTTAATTAACAAGATCATCATTACAGCTAAACATACAATAGACACATGTTCTGTACGCAATTAGAAGCGTTAATTATAAGTCTGTCCTAACGATCCATCATAATATATTGCTCCAAATCATCCATTTTTGCCTACAGGTAACAATATTCCAAGAATGCCAGCCAGAATTTCTGCATGACTTGGTACTTAAGATGAAAGCTTATATATTTACCCCAGGGGATCTGATTTGTCGTCGTGGAGAGGTAGCAAGAGAAATGTTTATAGTAGCTGATGGTCTAGTCGAAATAATAAGGTAAGATTATTTCGGTGATTATTTATTAATATTATAGTGGAAATCTGAATTTTATAAATTTTATTTGGTTGCAATTCATCATCTATTGGACTGATATCATTCGTTAGCATCGATATTAACTAACACACAAACTGTACACCTCAAAACATTTTCATTATACATGTATTTAAAATGATAGATCACTAATAGCTAGAATAGTGTATCAGGCATGGAGACCGTAAAACATCAGACCGTGTTAATAAAATAAAACTAACATTAGTTTGTAACACTGTAAAGTGTAAAACAATAGATTTTGTTAATAAAAAAGCTGATATTAGTTTGTGACCCTGTAAATTGTAAAACATTAAATTTTATTAAGAAACTAAAGCTGATATGAGTTTGTGAACTCTGTGAACTCTGCCAACTCTGCCTCACTCACAGAGCCTGTCTACATTAGGTCTATGAAGAACGTTTTGACCTCAAATACATAAAGTTAATATCCATAAACTTAATATTCATAAACTAGATAATTTATTAAAATATGCTGGCGGAGAACGGCCGGTTAACAGTTGTATTGAGTCACTTAAAAAGAGTTTAGGGAAATCGCTAAAGCGTCTTGGATCCTACTGATCTCAGAACACCCCTCTAAAGTCGAAATATGAATTTTTTATCTTCTAAATTAGAACAATACCATGTCTTGAAAATTATTAAGAACTTCCTATTAGGGCGGGAGCCCAGGGGTCAACTTAGCTGAAAAGTATACCAATTTTCTCCTACATGGTATCAATGCATGCATATCTGGTATCATCAGGATGTAAGTCAGTCGGGTATCTAGTGGTGGATGTGGTATCCCACGCCCAAAATGCCATGCTTACCAACTAGGCTAGATTAGCTCAAAAGTGTACTACATTTAAATCGTACATCAGAGAGAGAGAGAGAGAGAGAGAGAGAGATGGGGTTTAACGTCCACTCGACACAAACTAGGTCATTTCGGGACTAACATATGGTTTAATTTTATTTCAATAATTCGCTTGCGCGTAGGGGTCTTTAGCAGTGAGAGGAAACCGGAGGACCCAGAGAAAACCCACAAGGTTGGACAGGCGACCCTACTCCTTGCCACGTACAACTGGGGATTCGAAACCACGCCAGTTGACTCAATGACAGACTTTATGATACAGCGCGCAAGTGCTAACCACTCAGCCCTCCAACCCCCCAAATCGTACAGCAGTGTACCGTACATCTTCAGGTATTACAAAAACACCCTATAAGACATTTCTAGTGGTGGGATACCCCTGACAGAGCTATGTAATTATCTAATTTCCAGACCACAGTACCACCTAAAACTGCGTTGAAATTGTTCGGTGCCACCACAGACACGGCCAAAATGCCACGCCCCAAATAGGATAGATTAGCGGGCACTGTTCCCATGGTCCAAAAAATATAAAAGTTGTGCCAGGATGCTTAAAATACTAATACCTAGCACGTGTTGAAGAGGCGATAAAATGCGGTTGCAGGAACATTTTTTTTTTTTCAAAAACGCATTTTTAACCTCATAAAACGTTTTTTTCCCAAAAGATCTATTTATTGCCTCTTCTATACGTGCTAGGTATTAGAATTCTAAGCATCCTGGCAAAAAACGGGAACAGTGCCTGTTATCTATCCAAGTTGTGGACTTGGCGCACTTTGGGGCTTGTCTGTTCGGGGTAACCCACCGCACAAAATGTCTGGCAGTGGTAATTTATTATTCCTGTGGAGGTACGGAACAATTCCAAAGCTGATTTAGGTGGTACAGATTCCAGCTAATCTAGCCAAGCTGTGGTCTGGAAATAAGATAACTTTTGTCAGGGATACTCCCCTACTACAAATGTCTGGCAATTAATAGTTCTGTCAGGGATACCCCACCACTAGAAATGTCTGTCAGAGTGTTTTGTAATACCTAAATATGTATGGTACAATGCAGTGCGACTTTCATGCGGTACACTTTTGAGCTAATTTAGCCTAGTTGGGAGGGGCGGGGGGATGTCATTTTGGGCGTGCAATACCAGACCCACCACCAGCTACCCGACAGACTTACATTCTGATGATACCAGATTCTGATATGCATGCATTGATACCAGATAGGAGACAATTGGTACACTTTTCAGCTCGGTTGACCCCCCCCCCCCGGGCTCCGGGTCTATATACGTAGTCTGGTTCAAAATATAACAACGATGTTGGCCTTGATGTTTGAATCTCTATTCGTAATATAGAATCTCTCAGAAGATAGTTTAAAGCTTTTCATCGTACAATATTATTCATGAGATGATTTCAAAAACCGCATGGTTTATTCTACATTTATTACATTTATATAATATGAATTCTTGTATGTAAGCATGTATTTTTCTGTGATTAAATCCAAGTCGAGATGTTAGATCGTCCCAAGACTGTCGTATAGGCTATAATAAGAGTGATATATTTAAATCTAACAGTTAAATTATTTTTTGACAGTGAAAGTGGTACAGTATTGAAACAGATGGGTGCTGGTGATTTCTTTGGTGAAATTGGTATTCTCAACTTAGATGGCGGTATAAATAGGTAATATTAAACTTTTTTGTTTACATTAATCCCCCCCCCCCAACCCTCTGTTCCTCCTCTCATCTATGGAAGATGGTAATTGCTTTGGTGAATTGGTATTCTCAACTTATTGTCTGAACCATTTTAAATTTTAAACGGATTTCTTTGATTATGAACAAACTACTTGACTTTGGTTATTATAAACTTACCTGTGTGTTTGAAATTACCTCCGGTTAAAAAAATCCAATGTACAACTAAATATCCCAAGTTATCTCGAAACATACATACATATGTATCGAAACATACAAAAATGTAAGCTAATTACGTCAATTATGGGGACAGATCTTTTCGTATAAGGGGGTCTCAGCAAGGTTTGTCTATCGTAATGGTGTTTGGCTCTGTCACCACAATCCAATTTTGTGTATGAATAAGCTATTGCTCTCGGACCCAGTAATGAGTTTGGGCGTTTATAAACATAAATACGCCCGTAGTCCGTTATTTTGTTTCCGTCTTGTATTAATTATTTGGTTAGAGAGTTGGGTGGGATTATTTCTTTTGAACACAGGTGCAGAACAAAAAAAACGACATTCCTTTAATATTTCCTGATGAACTTAAACAGTCCTGCCAATTAACCTCGGCAATCTGCTGTAGCCGGGGTAAATCCGTAAATGCCGATGAATTTTACATTTGCCTCGCCAAAATTAATAGCCGAGGCCATTGAATCATTGAAAAGGTATATAACGTTATTATTATTATTTTTTATAAATACCAAAAATTGTTATCAACAACAAATCATACCGCACATCGGTTTAATTATCGGCAGATAGTTCCACGTTTTTCTATTTCTCTTCGAATATTATTTCCGTTGAGCAAAAACTGTTCGGAATTTTGCGTCTCAGGAACACAATTAATTTCCGAAAATCCAGGCTTCGTTTTGAAATTCACAGGACAATGTATCCATACGATTGTACATTCAGTTTTTAACTATAGGCCTATATTAATCACAAGTACAACTCCATTTTGAAATCTACAGAGAATGGTATTTTCTGATGGCATTTCGTAGATCGCGATCATGCCTCAGCCAATCAACGCTTTGTATCCTATTACCGTAGAAGGTACCATGTCATGAGTTATTGTATTCTACACAGATGCAGTGAAAATGGTTACAATTAGCGCGAAACTTGCACGAGTTTTTATACACCCACATTTTCATGTGGAAGTATATTGTCGTCGCCCCTGTCCGTCTGTCCGTCCGTCCAAAATTGTTTGTGAACAGTCTACAGGTCACAATTTTTATCCGATTTCAACGAAACTTGAAACATAGGTTTATCACCCTAAGATCTCGGTACCTTTCGATATTGGCATGTATCGGACTGTAACTTCATGGATTATGGCCCCTGATTGTACGAAAAATCACGTTTTAAGCTTGTGAACACTGTAGAGGTCACAATTTTCATCCGATTTGGTTTAAACTTGAAATGTATGCATATAACCCAAAGATATCGGTTCCTTTCGATATTCGCGCATATTGGAAGGTAACTTCCTGAATTATGGCCCCTGATTGTACGAAAAATCGCGTTTTTAGCTTATGGACCCTATAGAGGTCATAATTTTTATCCGATTTAAAAAAACCGTATTATTATATCACCGTTACACTCTAAGGACGACTGAGTTCGAATTTTGTGAAAAGCGGCCCAAAATTGACAGACAAAATGGCCGCCGTTCGTTCTCAAATAGCGTAAAAATATGGTATATCAAGGTTGTGGACCCTATAGAGGTCACAATTTTTATCCAATTTTGATGAAACTTGAATGTAAGTTTATAACCCCAAGATCCCGGTTTCTTTAGATATTCGCGCATATCGGAACGTAACTTCCTGAATTATGGCCCCTGATTGTACGGAAATTCGCGTTTTTAGCTTGTGGACCCTATAGAGGTCATAATTTTTATCCGATTTAAAATAAAAACGTATTAATATATCACCGTTACACCCTAAGGGCGGCTGAGTTCGAATTTAGTGAAAATCGGCCCAAAACTGACAGACAAAATGGCCGCCCCTCGTTCTCAAATACCGTAAAAATATGGCATATCAAGGTTGTGGACTCTATAGAGGTCACAGTGTTTATCCGATTTTTTTTGAAACCTGAAATGTAAGTTTATAACCCAAAAGTCTCCGTTCCTTTCGATATTTGCGCATATCGAATTGTAATTTCCTGAATTATGGTCCTTGATTGTAGGAAAAATCACTTTCGTTTTAGCTTGTTCTCTATCCATCTCTCGAAAATGTGGGCGTATCCTGCCTGGCAGCCACTGGTTGTGGTAATTATAAAACTTTGAAAATGGACAAATAGCGCAATAGCGCAATAGAAACTGCCATAATGTATTTTTGCGCTATACAAATTGAGACTTATTATTATTATTATTAATAACCACAGAGCATGGGATTAGATTTCGAGTTATGAAATATCAATTAAAATTATGAAATAAAGTGTGTTTATTTGTAAATGTTAGCCACAGAGTTGCATGACAGGGATGTAGGGCCCACTATATTTTATTAAAATATAATATACAGGGTATTTACAATTATGGGGTGATGATGATGTGAAAAGCAATATTTACGAGTATTCGTGTAATCGGTGATATAATATTAATTGTGAATAAAATTTAGTAGACTGACAATCAATTGTTTCCAAATTAATTTTATTGTCTTCAGTTACCATTTTTGTTCCCCAAACTCAAACGATTGGAAATGTCGCGCGTTGTTTTGATTGCAACACACGTGATTGTCAAAATTTGTCAACCATTGTCCCCTTCAACATATTAAGATGGTTTAGCTCATCACGTGACATGTACAATCGTGTGATGAACTTCGTCGAAACTACAAGCAAAAACATTGACTTTTTAAAAGAGAACTTTTTTTTCGTTGTGATATTCAAATGTGCAATGGATTTTATTCAACCGGAGGTGGTTTCAAACACATAGGGAAGTTTTTAATAACAATTATTCAGTAGTTTGTTTTGTCTTAGATTAATGACCCCTCCCTCCCTTCCTCCTCTCATCTAGGGCTCAGTAAAACCCCAACGAACCGAGCATGTGTATTTTAAAGGTAAATGTATCTTTAAATCTTACAAGTTTGATTAGAGCATATTCATCTATATTTGACTATACCATTGTGATCCAAGAAGTTTGCTATGCTTAAAGATACAAACGTAAAATAGCCTATGTGATAGCTTGTTTTGGCTTTAAATAAATACCAAAGCTCTTATTAATTTGTGCTTATTAGGTAATATGATAATCGATTAACCTTCGAGAAACTGCTACTTGCTCTTGTCAGACCAATGAACCTGACACCATTAATAACATTTCTCTGCTTGAAATGGTTCCTTGCTCGAAATAAAACAGATTCCTGCGGCTTGAACTGGGTTGACTAATTTAAGAAGTTACAATAAATATGCTAAACACTTCCAGGAATAGAGCTTGTGAAATAAAAATAATCAACATCCATATAATCTTAGCTGTTATTGATGTCACCTCGTTTAACTGTTAGTCGATAAGGCCCTACATTTCCATGTCAAAACAGTTCCGTCTTCGTGGCAGTATCTCGTTTCTTGTGAGATTTATATCCAGATTAGTGTCGAAATAGTTAATTAATCTAAACGCCTTCGATAGTCATAGGTTGATTACACCAGCAGTTGTGACGATATCTGAACCTTCTTAAAATGAGGTAAAAGAATATCCAAGCGTACATGTACGTCATACCAAAATTGAAAAACTAATTAAAGAAACTGTTCGTTAGTTCATTATAAAATATCTAACGTAATATATGGTGCAATAAATCTTTGATAAGACTGCATGTGTACATATAATGTATCAAGACGCAAATGTCATTCTTAAAATTATAAACAGCCACGTTACCATAAACCGTATATTTGTAGTATACATTTATTGTAATTTACTACATGCTCTAATAAAAATCTGAAATTACCTGAATACGCATTCATCACTAGTTTATTTCTTTTTGTCTACCACATATAACAGGTTTTCATGGGAATAAAGACTTATTCCAAGATTCCAAGTTGAAAAGATTTATTTACTAAATTAAATGGATCAAGTGATACAAATTGCATAGAATAGCGACCAAGAATATTGAACGGTTTCTTTTTCTTTCTATGTCATCAACACAGATTGGTTGCGTATTGGTTGTTATTCAACGGATCTGGTTTCCAATTCCCGTCTGCATTAGTGATAGTCTAAAGTAGTCAAAAACATGATATTGATCTAACCCTGCCAATATAATCTAGCGAAGCGTTTTGAGTTTAATGGCAACTTTTAGTTTTGTTCAAGACATATAATTAACCATTTTGTCTGGTACGAAATTGAGATTTCATCAAGAACTATTTTTATTTACTAAATCTGTAAAAGAATTCTGCTAATTTAGCCGCTAGACAAGACCGCGAAATTTTCGGTCTAGTGAATATCTTTGATGTATTTTTGTTTATAGCTTTGAGCTTTTACATTGTCTTTCTTCTTCTGGTACGGTCTATGAAGCACTTTTCAGCAATTAAATCCCAACTCAAAATATCGTCTGCTGATTAGTTGTATAACAATATGCTTCAGACTGGTCAGTGCGTCATTGTAATAACGCGGTAATAATAATAATGTGTACGTCGTAATAACTTCAAACCTAGTAGACTTTCTAAATCTACACATTAAATACAGATATACAGGAACAAACAATAACCTACATCTAAGTGAAATGATGTCATAACCGATAGGGAAAATGAAAGTAGAAGATAAAGGAAGGAAAATAAATGTAAGCGGCAAATAATGGTTCACAAAATCCATTGCTTCAATTCAGAACGACTTAATATGATATGAAGGTTGAAACCTTATTTATTTTTAAATTAAGAGAAATTTGAACCCATTTACCGTATAGCTCAATGTCCGAAACGATAGAAACTTGACTGCGTGGGCTAAACTAACATATCCATCTAGGTTTATTATATCATCAGATTATTTCA